GTGGCATCCTATGACAGTTCCACGCTGGAATTCACTGAGCTCCTGAGAGCGGCCCATTCTTTCACAAATGTTTGTAAAAACAGTCTGCATGCCTAAGTGCTTGATTTTATACACCTGTGGCCAGGCCAAGTGATTAGGACACCTGATTCTGATCATTTGGATGGGTGACCGAATACTTTTGGTAATATAGTGTATGATAAACCACAAACATAGGTCAAGAGATATACATCTACAAACAGCAGACAAGCAATAGCAGATAAAAGACATTATGTGATCTCTGGCCATAGTCTTACCAATCACCAAAATTCTGTTGATTAAAATCAATATGCAACACATGTCACATGTGGAGAGATGCACACAGAAAAAGCTAGAGGCCATTCTGGAATACCCTGACCATCCCCTACACAACACCCTGATGGACCAGAGAAGCAGCTGCAGTGGACGACTCACCTCACTGCGCTGCAGGACTGAATGATACAGGAGATCCTTCATCCCCACTGCCATCAGGCTCTGCAACACCTTAGCCAATGGCAGATGACTAATCACTACTCTCATTACTTTACTACTTCACTACTCTCACAAATTTCTACTACTCTTACTACTTTCTTTCTTACTTATCTACAAGACTACCTGAATTTCCCTTCGAGGATTAATAAAGTTTATCTCATCTCATCTCATGTCTGAACACCTGACCTGGCCCTACCAGTAACTGTTGACAGCAATTGCTCTGAGGGTACTCAACATATGTTTCTAATCTTTGCTAATCAGAACGCTAGTGTGTGGTTTGGATGTTTGAGCACAAATTACGGCATGAATCCATGTCATGAGTATTTGTAGGAACTTAAAATTTGGCAACAAATTTATTTTGGCCAAATGAGTAGAAACATGTGGAACATGATATTTTGTTCAACTGGGACCATCAAAACATCTCATCTAAGATGGAATGTAAGGAAATGTCTAATCCAACAGGATTCTTTACCATGGAGATCTTCTCAGATAACCTGGCTGGTATAGAAGAAACTAACAAGCAACACAAACAGGGAAGCAAATGACTCTGGTGGGACTCGAACCCACAACCTTTGAATCTCTCCAAAGCGGAGTCTAGAAGTCCAACACGCTATCCGTTGCGCCACAGAGCCCCTTGCTCTTATCTAATAAGCTGTCCAGTCTCTAAATTGAACCATAACGTTTTCTGTTAAACTACCATTTGGGAACCATTTGAAAAGCAACAACATTTTCAACCAAGCTATTCCACTCACAAACAGGGACTTAAACCGTGGACTGTCAGATTAAAAGTCTGATGTGCTACTGACTGAGCTTTCCAGGCTCTGCTGTTATGTTTCTTTTACCATCAAAACATTTCAGGCCTGTGGGCACAAATTTTCAACAGTTTCCTCTGAATAAATTGATCCTCTGCTCTGGATCGGTGGCCCATAATTATCTCAAAGTTGTGATTTTGGATGTGGTGTCATGCGAATCTCACTAAGAAGACTGAGGGCAGGAGATCCACACTGTTTTGGACATTCGTTTGTAACAACTCTTTGGTGAGTCTGTCTTTAACAGTTCTATTCTTTCTTTCTACTATCCCTGAACTCTGGGGATGGTAGGTAATGTCAAAGTTCCAGTCAATGTCAAGATATTTACAGAGTTTCTGAGTCACTCTGGATGTGAAAGGCATACCGTTATCGCTGTCTATTGATTGTGGGATACCATACCTAGGTATGATTTCCTTTGCCAAGATTTTAACGACAGTGCTCGCGTACTCTTTTGCACAGGGTAAGGCTTTGGGAACTTATCGACAATAACCATTAGATATTTTAGATTTCTTACAGGTGGCATGTTGTGAAGAGCTTGAAATAGAGCTTGTGGAGGACGTAACGCATCGTGTTTGGTGGTTTTACCCTGAACATTAGCTCTAGCACAAAGTAAACATGCATTGAGTAGTAATTTAGCAGTTTTAGCGACATAAAAGAAAATTGTTTGTTGATGTAATTAATCATCGTGCGACATGTGAAATACCATGAAAATGGCGCATGAGAAATGGCAAGACACAGCAGGGGAGCGCAATACGGCCTTGAGGGCAACGAATGAGTCCGTCCTCATCTGTAGGCCAAAAGGAAAGATCCTGTTTGGTAGCCTGTGTTTGTAAAAAAGATATGTGAATATCTAATGGAGTCAAAATGTGGGTAAACAGAGAAAACCCTGGATGTGTTGTGCACGAAAGGCGAGGGCGTGCCCTCTTTGGCTGCCTGTTTAGCTACTTCATCAGCTAGGGAGTTACCGCAAGCCGTTTCAGAATCTTAATGATTACCTGTCGAGACAGGTATTGATGAACAGCTGCGAGTATGTGTCAGAAACGGGTAAACGTGAACTGCCCTGCCATTCTTCCCTAAAACGAATCACAAAGGCGCTAGGGGTCTCATCACACCCGTTTAACATTGGCCGTGTGCAAGATGTCTTGTTGACTCTGTGTTCTTTCATTTAGGAATTTTAAATGCTCATCATAAAACTTGAGCAAATGATCGCGCATGGACCAATTGTAAAGGGTGTCATCTCCCCATCCATGTGTACTGTCATGAGCGAAATTCAAAGTTGGAATTTTTTCAATTAATAATTCTTCAGTAACATCATTTCCGAGCACCTTTAGGTGGATGTAACGGAAGTCAGGGCCAGTTAGTTGGGCATAACGTGTGTGTTGCTTCAGTGAATCCACAAAACGGCCAGGATTGCTGCTAGTAGGCAGAGTATCACAGAAGGCTTTAATTTCAGTCATACTCAGGGGAGAAATGGTGAAAGATTTGCTGACCTGCACAAAAGGGGTGGCTGCATTAAGCTTGGAAGGGATAGATTGTGACTCTTGCTCCGAGGCGGTTGGACCTTGAAGCACAGGAGTGTCTTTGATGACTACAGAGATGCTTCCTGATTTAGATTCAGACTACCAGCCAGCATATCTCTAACTTCCTTGCATGGCGGTTCCGTACCATCCACTGGCTACGTGGGCGGAGCATAAGGCGGCGGTGTCCGGGCCATGGGAGAGGTCGGTGTGATGGAGGGACAGGCTAAAACTACTTTTCTGTTAAATTTCGAATCAGTGGACTTTTTATTTTTAGATTTCTGGTGTTCCTTATCCCAAATTCGTTTCATTTTGAGCCATTTCTTTAATGCATCGGTCATATAATTATAGCCCCATTGAGGGTCGCCATATCCGTCAAAGAAGAGAACTGATAGGTTTTCCCGGGTTCACTTAGAATCAGGAAGAAGTCTGTGTTCATGCTGCTGCCACAACCTCTGTACCGGCGCCGGGGTAGAGAGTGCCAAAGAAACACACAAAGTCAGTGTTTGAGTAGCAAACCTCAAAACCCTCTGCTCTGGATCAGAGAAGGCTAATCCCGTCTGGTCCTTGGTATATATGTAATAATGGTATATTAATAAATTCAACAATTTATTAGTGGACCATTCTCAGATGAGGGACTTTTCGGTAACGTGCTATTTTACGTCCAAGTGCAGTATTGGAGGATTCAAACCACTGTGTAATTTTGGCTCTGTATAACTCACAATAAGCAGCTCTTTACCGCCTTTGCCACTGATTGCCCGTCATCTGACACATATATTGACACAAAGGACTTGTATAAGTGAAAATGTGCATGAAGTTCACCAGAGAAAGTTGAACCTTGGTCCTATCATATAAGCTGTCTTGTCTCTAAGTTGAGCTTCAGGTACAAGTTGTCCACCCTTCACACTGTGAGGTGAAAACTGCCATTTGCTCTTGTAAATATCCCTTATATACAGCATTTGGCAGACACCTTTATCCAGAGCAACTTACAATTATCTCATTTATACAACTGAGCAGTTGAGGGCCTTGCTCAAGGGCCCTGCTCAAAGGCCCAGCAGTGGCAGCTTGGCATTGAACTCATGACCTTCAGACCAGTAGCCCAACAGCTTAACCACTGAGCTACCACTACCCTACACTACCTTTCTTGTCTTGGAAAGGGGAATCCAGCCAGGTTATGCATTTAAAAAGAGCTTGTGCCTTGTCATCTGAAAAGGTTCTAGCCCAGATGTCAGAATCTAGTCACAACAGTCACAGCCCCCAACTTGTCTAATGCATCTTTCTCACCTCAACGAGGAACAAGAATGCACTACCAACTCTGTACCATGATGCTTTTTAACCCCCTTCAGCAGGACCTCGTGGCGCAACGGTAGCGCGTCTGCCTCCAGATCAGAAGGTTGCGTGTTCGAATCACGTCGAGGTCATGAAACTTGCTCTTTCACATACACAGTGGTGGCTTTTATGTGGAGACTTTCATATGGATTTGAATCTCTGTGATGACCATCCATGTCTTTGTTGGCTTCATGCTAGAAGGTAACATTACTCAGGTAACAACTCTTTCACCTAATTACCAGTAGTAACTTAGTTACCAAATATATTATGTACATATATACACGCACATATATATATATACAGTCAGGTCCATAAATATTGGGACATCGACACAATTCTAAAATTTTTGGCTCTATACACCACCACAATGGATTTTTCAATGGATGTTTCAAATGAAACGAACAAGATGTGCTTTAATGCAGACTGTCAGCTTTAATTTGAGGGCATTTACATCCAAATCAGGTGAACGGTGTAGGAATTACAACAGTTTGCATATGTGCCTCCCACTTGTTAAGGGACCAAAAGTAATGGGACAGAATAATAACCATAAATCAAACTTTCACTTTTTTAATACTTGGTTGCAAATCCTTTGCAGTCAATTACAGCCTGAAGTCTGGAACGCATAGACATCACCAGACGCTGGGTTTCATCCCAGGTGATGCTCTGCCAGGCCTCTACTGCAACTGTCTTCAGTTCCTGCTTGTTCTTGGGGCATTTTCCCTTCAGTTTTGTCTTCAGCAAGTGAAATGCATGCTCAATCGGATTCAG